CTAACGCACTCTTTCCTGGAAGCAGCAATAAATCACGCTGCGATGGAAACCACTGGTGAACAGTGCTGGAGAAATATGGCTTGTCAAAAAGAGGCTCATTTCTGCCATGAAAAATGGAAAGTGACTCTATTGAGCTAAACTTTTAAACGGTGTCTGAGCTATCAAAATACTTGGGATGGCTGGGATGGAAATGTTTGTACAACATCACGATTCGTGGCAGAAGGGCCCCTGCACTTTCAAAGTGATGCAAAGCATCACCGCTTCCCTATGGGAATTGTCTGATTGGCCTTTTCTGTAAACAAATTCAACTTTTCATAGCAAGTTTGCAGGACAGCCACGGCTACAAAATTGGATGCTTTTTTCCCCTGGTGTCTGCTTGATTCTCTGAAAAATGTCCTCATTTGAGATTGCCTTTAACTTGGAAAGTGAGATGATTCTCTTCGGTCTCCTGACTCATGGCAACCATGGGGATAGTAACAATTCAGTGTCAAGGAGAGTCACGTCTGAATTTCAGGTGAAATTCAATAGCATACGGATGACTCTCACGTAACTGAAAAGAACATGTTTGGGGAACTTTTTGGGGGGACAGTGACCCAATCCCCCCACGAATGTGCTGTCTCTCTCTCAGCTGGGTCAGTGACCCATGTACTTCGGGACGTCCCTCTGACCCACCTGTGCCTGGTCCACTCTGGGGAGGATTTGGGAATCACAGCAGAAGGGAAAGGCTTGGGGGACTGAAAAAGAGGTTAACTTGGGACACAAGGTGAGTGACTTGTTGCCATATTCAAAATAAGGTGATTCATGGAAGCAACCTAAGTGTCCATTGACACAAGAATGGATAAACAAGATGTGGCACATATATACAATGGAATATTACTCAGCCACAAAAAGGAACGAAATTGAGTTATTTGTAGTGAGGTGGATGGACCTAGAGTCTGTCGTGCAGAGTGAACTGGGTCGGAAAGAGAAAAACAAATACCATATGCTAACACATATGTATGGAATCTAAAAGAAAATGGTTCTGATGAACCTAGGGGCAGGACAGGAGTAAAGATGCAGACGTAGAGAATGGACTTGAGGACACGGGGTCAGGGTGAAGGGTAAGCTGAGACAAAGTGAGAGACTAGCACTGACCTATATACACTACCAAATGTAAACCAGATAGCTAGTGGGAAGCAGCCACATAGCACAGGGAGATCAGCTCAGTGCTTTGTGACCACCTAGAGGGGTGGGATAGGGAGGGTGGGAGGGAGACGCAAGAGGGAGGGGATATGGGGACATATGTATATGTATAGCTGATTCACTTTGTTATACAGCAGAAACTAACAACATTGTAAAGCAATTATACTCCAAAAAAGACGTAAAACAAACAAACAAAAAAATAAAGTGATTTTTTTCACTGTACAGTAGGAAAGGAAACATTTTTAGAAGAAAGCACATAGATCTTTGATAAATTAAAGGGAATCCCAAGTACCCAGAAAGTCTCTTTCATAATTAAAAGTGTTTCCACCCGTAAACATCAAACATTCTGCCATATGTGAACAGAAAGCAAGATCAATTATACGTAGTCACACGTACGTGAAGAGTTTCGACGTTTATTCTGCAGAATGGAGCTGAGCTGGGTACAGCTTGCTGTTGTATCTGTAGTGCTCTATGGAAGAAGTCTTTTGTGGTCACCCAGCTAGATGTCAGCAAAATTGAGTGGGAGAACCAAGCCGCTCCCCTTGTCTTCATCAGACATAAGTGATACCAAGCATTTGGATTCCTTTTCCAAACGTGGAAAAAAGAAATGAAATCGAATTTTCATTATGGAATAGGAGAATTGGGCATGCCAATCTTCATTAAGAGGGAGCATGGTCATAGACTCACTATGGTAATACTCTATCTGCTTGCAAAGATGAGGCTGACAGGTTTTCACTTTAATGAATTAATGTATTTAGGTATTATATTTTTGTTGCCTATGTTTTATGTCACAAAGAAAGACTGCCCTCCATTTACGTCCAGAATCAGCTCATTTGGAGATGCAGGGGGAATGATTTTCCTGCATATGCTGGGGTGATGGCCACGGAAGGTATGAAAGAAAGATTCACCGCCAAGAGGAATCTCATATAGGCACACCACGGGGTTGAATTAGAGAATTCTCATGGCAGCACTCACTGAGACTCTGCAAAGTGAAAATCTCTATGTGTAACCCTGGGACTGCTGCTCTTTTTACCTAAGCAGAAACCCTGCATCGAAGGGCTTTTCATTTCTCACCAAGCTAGGATTGTCAAGAACAGCACTTGCTTCTTGAGAATTACAAGGCTGTACTTGAAGGAGAGGGGTCTTCTGAACGAAACTCCTCCCGTTCAATGAAAAATGTGGCTAAATGTGAGGGAACCTCATTAAGTGATTGTCATATAGCCTGGGTCCAACCCTCTGAATGTGTTTATTCACCTGAGAAACGTAAATTTAATATTGCTTAAGCAAGAAATCAGGGAAGCTGATTTCCACCAATCTTAGTGGGAGAGAGTTAGGCTGTTTTCTAAAGAGTAGATACGTATGCATCAGATTTACAGATGGATATGGATAAATATGAGGATATTATTCAGATGCTCTTATTGGAAAGTTCTGATGAGGTTTTCATTATATAGATAACGACATTTTCCGTAAAAGAGCAATAATAAGCTTTTCAGCAGAATTCTCAACCTCAGCACTCCCAACATATTGGGCTGGATCACGCCTTGCTGGAGGGTGGCATCCTGTGCGTTGTAGGATGTTTAGCAGCAACCCTGGCCTCTATCCACTAGATGCCAGCAACATCCCGAGTCAAAACAATCAAAAATGTCCCTAGACATTGATAAGCAGCCCCTGGGAGGGACAGTCACCCCAGCTGAGAAGCATCCCTTTAGATGGTCAACGCCTCCAGGGCAGACACACAAGGACGTCTTCTAGACCTGGTTGCTAACATGATCTAAATAGTATATTGTGAGATCATTTTATTCCCGTGAGCAACCTGGAAGCAGATTGCCGTTTTCTTATCTGTGCTGTCTCTTGGAGAACAATGACATCTTATGGAGCCCTGGACCAAAACCCAGACATAGTATCATGGGGTTGAGTTGGACCATCAACAGCTGAGATCCATTGAAAGAACCTTCAATACTCAGAATGGGCTCCACTGATGACACTGGCTCGTGCACAAAATGTTTGGGTCAGCTTAAGAGGGAGGCTGCTTCCTTCCTCAATGGGCACGTGGGAGAAAAACAGGATGACCCCCATTAGTCTCAGGTTGGGGTGGCTACGAGGTGCCGGCAGCAAGATCTCCCTTTAGGGATCTTCCTCTTTGCCTCTGAACTTTTCCCTTCCCTTGGCTCTTCCCAGGGAGGTGGAAAACCAGTTAAAGACAGTGTGAAAGCAGGGACTTCCCTGGTGGTCCAGTGGTTAACACTCTGTGCTCCCAATGCAGGGGGCCCGGGTGCGATCCCGGGTCAGGGAACTAGATCCCACAGGCATGCCACAACTAAGAGTTCGCGTGTCACAACTAAGAAGGCTGCATACCGTGACTAAAGACCTGGCACAGCCAAATAAATAAATAAATAATGTTTAAAAAATAATAAAAATATAAAGATACTGTGAGAGCAGAGAGTACCGACGAATTTAATATCATGAACCGAGAGAGAAAAATGTACTTAATGAAACTATCTGAACACTCAGTGTGCACGGTCACGGAACTATTCAGATTTGTTCCAAGGGAAAGAACCAGGGCCAAAGAGTAAGTAAAAAAAGGAGTGAGAGGGCTTCCCTGGTGGCGCAGTGGTTGGGAGTCCGCCTGCCGATGCAGGGGACACGGGATCGTGCCCCGGTCCGGGAGGATCCCACGTGCCGCGGAGCGGCTGGACCCGTGAGCCGTGGCCGCTGAGCCTGCGCGTCCGGAGCCTGTGCTCCGCAACGGGAGAGGCCACGACAGTGAGAGGCCCGCGAACCGCAAGGAAAAAAAAAAAAAAAAAAAAGGAGTGAGAGTTTTCGTTTTCTGTAAGAAGAGACTTGTGATGAGTTACTGCTGCCACGTTTTCTGTCATTAGAGGGGAAGAAGAATCGTTGGATTGGAATAGAAGCTCTCAGAAGCCCCTCCAGCCCTCAGAGTGATGAGTCCCTGAGCCCAGATGGACGTGAAACGTGTAAGTGGAAACAACCCTGCTTCCCTACCTGTTACCTCTCAATATGGCGGGTGAGACAAAACAAAACAAAACAAAACAAAAATGGCAAGTATTCATGCATCGCTACTCTGCACTTGACATGCTCTAGCGCTTGCCATCCTGTGCAAGTGTGAACCCATTTGCAGGAGAAGAAATCAAGGCCCAGGAACTTCAATGCTTCAGCAGCAGTGAAGCCACAGCAGTACAGCTCCGGGAATCTCTGCCCTTCTCTGAAGCACCAGCTACCCTGAGACGGTGTGGTCCAGAGACCCACAGGGATGCCTGAGACCTCTGAGGAGGTCTATGAGCTCAAACTGTCTTTGCAGTAATTCAAAATGTTATTTGCCTTCTGTACCCCCACTCTTTCATGAGCTTACGGTGGGTTTCCCCAGTGGCTCCATTATCACTCTGTCAGCCGATGCAATGTGTGCTTGGGCCCTCTTGCGTCTAAAAACTTTTATTTCCAGGTTTAATTGCTCATATGACAAACACTGATAGATACCGCCCACAGAAACACAACGTCTTTGGGCTCCTGGATCTGGGAAGAGTGTACATGAATCTCGAGACCACAAAGTTTGAGAAGGGCTGAAGTCTACAATTCTGCCTTTCCCATCTGTGTGTGTGTGTGCGTGTGTGTGTGTGCGCATGTTCTTTGAGAGGAAGGTATACCTAATGTGGAAATTTGAAAAAAAGAAGAGTGAACCAAGGTTGCGCACAATGGGAGGTGAGCAAACCTCTCCATGGACTCAGCTCTGGCTGAGCTGTTGTTTTCGTCTCTGGTTTCCAGTTTCCTCTTGGCTCTGTCGGCAGCTGAATTTGAACAAGATTTGCAGCCCGTGTGCCTGCCGTCACCCTGGATTGCCACCCAACTAATGAAAACAATGAATCAGTGTGCCTCACTTAGAGCTCTCCAGATGGGTAACAACACCTAAGGAGAAACCACTGGCAATGCCGTCGGAAGTTGTATTTAAATTTAAGAGAAAGACGTTTCATTTAGAACTCGCTAAATGAAGACGTGCTGGGAAAAAAGGGGCCTGACTGGGCCCCCAAGTGCCTTTCTCGCTGCTGCAGCAAAGAGCTGATGAGCAGGGCCAGGAGGAGCGGTGTGGGACGAAACAAGGGAGGTTAGAGGGCATCTGCCCAGCTGCCCTTCTGAAAGCCGATGATGGGCACAGATGAGAGAGAGAGAGAGAGAGAGAGAGAGAGAGAGAGAGAGGGAGAGAGGGAGAGAGAGAGAGGGAGAGAGAGGGAGAGAGGTTCCACGGAATGCCAAAAGAGGGAGGCTCAGTTAAAGACCGTCCATCCCATAGGATTTCCCTGGTGGCACAGTGAATAAGACTCCATGCTCTCAATGCAGGGTACTCGGGTTCAATCCCTGGTCAGGGAACTAGATCCCACATGCATGCTGCAACTAAGAGTTCACATGCCACAACTAAGGAGCCCATCTGCCACAACTAAGGAGCCCACGTGCTACAACTTAGGAGCCAGCGAGCCCCAACTAAGGAGCCCGTCTGCCGCAACTAAGACCTGGTGCAACCAAATAAATGAATAAATAAACAAATATTAAAAAAAAAAACAACTGTCCATCCCCTTCAGGATTTGGACTTTATTTCCCACTGGGATAACAGGATGGACAGAGCAGTGTTTACATTGCTGTACCCACCAGTAAGTCCCATAACTGGGCGTGGATAAAGGGTCCAGCCGGAAGTAGCATATGCCACCGTGCAGGCGAATCGGAACACCCTTGCCCACAAAATCCGAAGGAGACTGCCCCGAGCACCTGGGAGTCACAGTACCTGTCTTCCGGCAGAGGGGACCCCGCAAGTTTGACCACCGTGGGGAAGATGTCCATATTGCTTGTTGGCTCATCAATCTCCAGCCCAGCCTGGATCACCCCTGGCCATCGGAGGATGCCTGGAACCCGGATGCCTCCTTCCCAGTTGTTGGCTTTTCCCCCTAAAATGCCGAAGGAGAGGCATCAAGGAGATTTATACGTCTTTCCAACACGTACCTCAATGCACTCTTCAACGCTTAATGTGGGGTGGCCAATTTGGAAGAACCTAGTGATTTAATGACATGGATTCAATGAGAATTTCACAAGCAATACTGTATCTCTTGTGGTGAAAAAAATATATCGGGTTGGCCAAGAAGTTTGTTTGGGTTTTTCCAAAAAATGTTACGGAAGAACCCAAACAAACTTCTTGGCCAACCCAATATATATATGTCATGGTCTCTACATGCATGACACACGGCCAGCATTGCCTGGTGGACACAAGTGCTGACTCTGTCATCAGGGAGACTCAAATCTCGCAGCAACAAAGACTTCTAACAATGTTTCTGGAGTCATGGGGTTCAAATTCCACTTCTACTTTTTACCGCTGGTAGGAGGCAAAATAATGGCACCCCCAAATATCCACTTGCAACCCCTGGAATCTGGGGATATGGTACCTTATCCGACAGAAGGAGAGATTATTCTGGATTATGTGAGTGGGTCGAATATAATCACGAGGCTCTTTACAAGGGAAAGAGGGAAG